CTCCCTATATTATTAAATAATTTTTAAATAAAGAATTTACTTAGTTTAAATTATATGTAAATAAGTAATAATGAAATTAAATAAATAACTTATAACTTACAGACTAAATAAAATTACAAATAATTTTTTTTAAATAAAGAATTTAGTTAGTTTAAATTATATGTAAATATTGTATATAATTAAGTAATAATGGAATCAAATAAACAACTTACACTCTATATTATTAAATAATTTTTTAAATAAAGAATTTAGTTAGTTTAAATTATATGTAAATATTACATTAAATAAGTAATAATGGAATTAAATAAATAACTTACGCTCTATATATTAAATAATTTTTTTTAATAAAGAATTTAGTTATTTAAATTATATGTAAGTAAAAATAGAATTAAATAAATAACTTACTCCCTATATTATTAAATAATTTTTAAATAAAGAAATTAGTTAGTTTAAACTATATATATGTAAATATTATATGAATAGAATTAATAAATAACTTATAACTTACATTCTATTTAAATAAAGAATTTATTAGGTTAAATTATATGTAAATATTATATAAATAAGTAATAATGGAATAAAATAAATAATTTATAATTTACCAGCTAAATAAAATAACAAATTTTAAATAAAGAATTTAGTTAGTTTAAATTATATGTAAATATTATATAAGTAAGTAATAATAGAATTTAGTAAATAACTTATAGCTTACCAACTAAATAAAATTACATAATAATTTTTTAAATAAAAAAATTAGTTAGTTTAAATTGTATAAATACTATATAAATAAGTAATAATAGAATTAAATAAATAATTTATAACTTACGATCTATTTAAATAAAGAGTTTAAATTATTATAAATAAGTAATAATAGAATTAAATAAATAACTTATAATTTACCAACTACAAATTTTAGATAAAGAATTTAGTTAGTTTAAATTACATGTAAATATTATATAAATAAGTAATAATAGATTTAAATAAATAACTTACTCCCTACATTATTAAATAATTTTTAAATAAAGAATTTAGTTAGTTTAAATTACATGTAAATATTATATAAATAAGTAATAATAGAATTAAATAAATATAGTCAACCCCCTCAGTTTATAGGC